TTGAGGTAAATTTTTGCGGCCGGAGATGATCGTAACCCGAAAAGTTCGTTAACAGAGGCGTTCGTAACCCGAGGTTCCACTGTACTGGTAATTAAAAAAAAAAAGACTACCATACATCTTTTCTTTCCTTGGAATTTATTGCTGCTTCAGAATTTAGTAGAAACATTTAAAAAAACTTATTTCACCTTTTCCAGTGTTCCTTTTTTCACAGAAATCACTTCTCTCTTCTGGTTCTTCAGGGATTGTTTGGGGTGGGGGGATAAAAAAGAAAGTCAAGATGGTGGCCACAATGACCACATGATTGAAACCCCACCCCCTTTTTATATGCAACGCACATAAAAAAGGGGCAGAGTTTCAATCTTACGGTCACAGCCACCATCTTAACTTTTCTGATCCTCCCCCAGACACCCCTGCTGTTTCTCAATATAATTTGTAATCTCTATTGCAAGAATATAGGAAACAATAAGCTATGAATGTTAGCTTAATAAAGGAAAATGTGAACAATACTGTGCTGGTGTACCCTCCCCATTTCTCCCCACTTATCCTTCCCTTTACATAAGCAGGTAAAAAAGGCTAGGTGGAAGAGTTTAGACTGATGTTCAAACATGAGATGATAAGCCATAGTTTCTTAGCCACCATTAAGCATTAGCTGCCAGGCTTCCCACCTGGGCTAACCAATAAGTTACAAATCTCCAGATACTTAACATTAATTCAGCTCTTGGCTATACTTGGCAGACGATTTCCAGACATGACTTGGCAAGTTTGGGACTTCTATTGCAATAAGAATGAAGCTCTAACACAACAGTTGATTGCCTGCTGCAGTGCAAAGCGGTCAGAACCTTTATACTGCATATCTATGCTCCAACGTTTAAACTCTTGAATTTCTTTCTCCCACTTTTTCACGTTAAAGGATACTTGCCTTGGATTGCTTATGTAGTGGTCCTCCATAGACTAGAAACCACTGGTTCCTGTTTCACCAGCTTCAGCCCTTAGACAAGGGCTAAAGCTGCAGTATGATCCTAGCTTGTTTATATGCATGAACCTTGTTATGCTTTCAGGCTAAACTGCCTCTGCTTGGTTATTTTACCAGTTTGCACAAAGCGAAGAACAAAGTTGGAGTAAAAGGGCTGCATTTGTAAACATACAGTTCATTCATATTGTTGCTTAAAAGCCAGAATGCTAGTTTACTGTCATGTGGGAAATGTGATCCATGATGTTAAGAAGGTACTTTTGAGATGCCCATTGGGTGAGCTAGACAGGGGGTGAGCATATTCAAGGTTTCTTTAAAATTTATGAGGTTATCCTGTACAATCTTGACCTGATTTTCAGGCCAGGCCAGGCAGCATGAGAAGGTGACCTTCTTTCTTGCTGTCTTCCCTGCTGCCTTGTTTGCTTTCATTTCATTTCATCTTGGCTACTACCTGTCCAGCCTGGTTCTAGCCTAGCACTAGAAAGGAATAGCTGTTCAAGTGAAAGCATGACGTCTGTACAGATTTCGGTCTGGGAGAATTGAATCCCTGCTGGTATAAACACTTTGTTAGCAATACAGACTGCCTTGTATGTCCATAAACCTCTTTGTTCATGTGTTCATATTTGGGAACCACACTGGGAAAGGGCAGGGGGGACTAAGATTGTGCAGAACCCTACAACCATCGTCTTCTCTAAGAAGCTTTTAATGTATTGTAATTATGCATGTTTGACACCTCTACA